TCAAATTTACAAACCAATCACTAAAGCCAAAGATGAAGAAATTGAAGAATCTTACCAACTTCTGCAGTATGAAATTGCCCAAACATGCAGTCAAGATGTATTGATTATTACTGATGATTGGAAAGCAAAACTTGGAAACAAACAAGGAGCATTAATAGCTAGAAAATATGGTGTTGGTGATAGATCTCATGATAGAATTTTGCAAGACCAATGACTTATTCATTGCAAATACCTTTTTCAACAACATATATGGCAACTATACACGTGGACCTCACCAGATGGAATGCACAGCAATCAAATTGACTACATTGTGGAAAGAGGTGATAGAGAAGCTCAGTGTCATCAGTCAAAACAAGGCCAGGAGCTGACTGACTGTGGAGCAGACCATCAATTGCTCATATGCAAGTTCAAGTTGAAGCTGAAAAAAACATTGAAGAGAGTCCATGAGAGCCAAAATACGGCCTTGATTATATCCCACCTGATCTTAGAGACCATTTAAAGAATAGATTTGATGCATTGAATGCTAATGATGAAAGACTAGAAGAAGTATGGGATGACATCAAGGATATCATATATGAAGAAAGCAAAAGGTCATTAAAATGACAGGAAAGGAAGAAATGACCAAAATAGATGTCAGAAAATTCTATGAAACTTGCTCTTGAACAGAGAGTAGCTAAAAAAAAATGGAAGAAATGATGAAATAAAAGAGTTGAACAGAAGATTTCAAAGGGCAGCTTGAGAAGACAAAGGAAAGTATTATGATAAAATGTGCCAAGACCTGGAATTAGAAAACCAAAGGGAAGAACATGCTCAACATTTTCCAAGCTGAAAGAACTGATGAAAAAATTCAAGTCTTGAACTGCAACATTGAAGGATCTATGAGAAAAATATTACATATGCATCAAAAGAAGATGGAAGGAATACACAAAGTCACTGTACCAGAAAGAATTGGTCAACATTTAACCATTTCAGGAGGTAGTTTATAATTAAGAACCAGTGGTATTGAAGGAAGAAGTCTAAGCCACAGTGAAGGAATTGGTGAAAAATAAGGCTCCAAGAATTGATGAGATACCCATTGAGATGTTTCAACAAACAGTTGTAGCACTGGTGGTGCTTTCTCATTTATGCCAAGAAATTTGGATGACAGCTACCTGGCCAACTAATTGGAAGAGAGCCATGTTTCTGCCTATTCCAAAAAAATGTGATGCAACAGAATGTGGATGTTACTGGATGATGTCATTAATATCACAAGTGAAATTTTGCTGAAGACAATTCAGAAATGGTTGTAACAGTATATTGACAGGGAACTTTCAGAAATTCAAGCTAGATTCAGAAGAGTATGTGAAACTAGGGATATCATCATTGCTAAAGTCACATGCATCTTGGCTGAAAGCAAAGAGTACCAGGAAGATACTTACCTGGGTTTTATTGACTATGCAAAGACATTTGACTGTTTGGATCATAACAAGTTATGGATAACATTGCAAAGAATGGAAATTCCAGAACATTTAATTATACTCATGAGGAACCTGTACATAGACCAAGAGGCTGTTGTTTGAACAGGACAAGGGGATACTGCATGGTTTAAACTCAGGAAGGGTGTCAGAGTTACATCCTTTCACCATACTTATTCAGTCTGTATGCTGAGAAAATAATCCAAGAAGCTGGACTGTATGAAGAAGAGCATGGCATCAGGATTGGAGGAAGACTCATTAACAACCTATGATATGCAGATGACACAACTTTGCTTGCTGAAAGTGAAGATGACTTGAAGCACTTATTGATGAAGATCAAAGACTACAGTCTTCACTATATGGGTTACACCTCAATATGAAGAAAACAAAATTCCTCACAGCTGGACCAGTAAGCAACATAATGACAGTGGAGAAAAGATTGAGGTCATAAAAGATTTCATTTTACTTGGATCCACAATCAACACCCATGAAAGCAGCAGTCAAGAAATGAGATGTGGTATTTGCACTGGACATAGCTGCTGTAGGGGACCTCCTTAAATGTTAAAGAGTGAAGATGTTATTTTGAAGACAAGCGTGCCTAACTCAAGCAAGCCATGGTATTTTCAATCACCTCATATGCATGTGAAAGATAGACAGTGAATAAGGAAGACTAAAGAAGTGTAGATTCCTTTGAATTGTGGTTTTGGCGAAGAATAGGGAAAATACTGTGGACTGCCAGAAGAATGAACAGATCTGTCCTAGAAGAAGTACAGCCATAATGCTTCTTAGAAGGAAGAATCCCCAGACTTGGTCTCACTTTGTTCATGTTGTCAGAAGGGGCCATACCCTGGGTAAAGGATGTCATGCTTGGTAGAGTAGAGGGTCAGCAAAAAAGGGGACGACACTCAATGAGATGGATTGACACAGTGGCTGCAGCGATGGGCTCACGCACAGCAAGGATTGTAAGGATGGCATAAAACTGGGCATGTTTCGTTCTGTTATACATAGGTTCACTTTTAATCAGAGTTGACTTGCTGGAACCTAACCACAAGAGTGGTAAGAAGATTATAAATAAACATTATGTGATAAAAAGTTACGGTATTTCAAAGGGATGCTGATGTTATTAAAATCTAGCATAGGTAAGCTTGAGTTTCCATTTCTATCTGAGCCTCTTGCTCATACTCTTCTATGTATACATGAAGGAGCCCTGGTGGCACAATGGTTAACGTGTGCAGCTGCTAACCAAAGGTCAGCTGTGTGAACCTCCCAGCTGCTCTCAGGGAGAAAGGTGTGGCAGTCTACGCCCATAAAGGTTACAGCTTTGGATACCCAATGGAGTTATTTCTACTCTGTCCTGTAAGGTCACTATAAGTTAGAATTGACTAGATGGCAAACAGTATGTCTGTATGCATGTACAGGTATGTGTGTACTATATGGAGGGAGCCCTGGTGGTGCAATGTTTAAGCACTCAACTTATAAAGGTTGGCAGTTTGAAACCACCCCCACCCCTAGCTGCTCCTTGGGAGAAAGATAGGAGATTCTACTTCTGTAACAATTTACAGCCTTGGAAATTCTAAAGAGGAGTTCTATCCTGTCCTATAAGATCACTATGAATTGGAATCAACTTGATGGCAGCAGGTATATGCTATGTATGTATATGTATTCATTTCTAAGGTCAGAATTGGATTATCTTTGCCACTCACTCTGTGTTATTAGATGAGTGTATCCTCTGAAATCATAATCAAAGCATAAGCCAACAGACAAACTCTGTCTTGTATGGGATACCAGTTGCCCCACAGTCTGTTTGACTCATGGTGTCAGAGTGAAACTATGCTCTGTAGGGTTTTCAATGGCTAGTATTTTTTAAAGTAGTTCATCAAGACATTTTTCCAGTGCACACCTCTGGATAGGCTCAAAACTATAACTTTGTAGTTAGCAGCCAAGTATATAAACTATTTGTAGCACCGAAGAACCCTTTTATAGGATATTTCAATATAAGTAATAAAGGGCCCTTAGAGCATAAAGTACTTGCTAAGATGGCCATTGTAGGTTCAGTTTAATCTGTATTCCTTACTAATATCAAATTTGTTCAGGTATTTGTTGGTCACCCTTTTGGCATCAATGAATGATATGCTGTCATAGTGTCTTTTTAAAGGGTCTGTGCTGCAAGTTGCTTAAATGCAACTGCAGGGGCATTTAGTTTTTAGCAATTTTCTAAGTGGATCTTAATGTACCTTTTTAATAGTCTATCATTAGAAAGAAGTATCTTGTATTTTAATGAGCAAAATATAATGATCATCCTCAGTGTTGGTGTTTTAGTCAAACGAGTGTTTTGATCAGGGCTTTGAACCGGTTCAAATTGGTTTAGTTAAGGTCTGTGAAGTGAAACCAATACAGGGTTGGATTTTTTGAAATTTGGATGATCTGGAACAATAACCAGAAAAGGAAAAATTATTACAGGTCAAAGCCCTGGAATGGGAGATTCAGAATAGGCAGAATGAGGCCTTTTCAAGAGTCTGATATTGGAGACTGGATTATTGCCAGGACTGTGGAGTATAACACATGTTCAAAGCAGCATGATCGACCACCATTCATGAGCCCTGCTCAAAATCCAAGGGCGAGAGATTTAGTTGCTATGTAGCATGCACACTGCCCTTGTTTTCTGAAAGGGGGATTAACTCTCTAGCAGGGCTTTGCCCTATAGTTTTTTCCCAGTCCAGTTATCATTCCAGTTCACCCAAATTTTAAAACTTGAGGTCTGTTCTGGTTTTGCTCCCTTGACCATGACTGAACTGGGAAGAATTTGTTCGATTCCCTGGTTTTGATGTAAAAATGCTGGCTAAGCCACAGTATGTTTTATGTCTTACTCTTTTCTTCACCCAGTATGTAGTACTGTAATTGTTTTAAATTTAGTAAATGCAAAACTTCTGAATGAAGAATCACCTTCAGGAAATAACGATTCGATTAAGCTTTAATATTTTCATTTTTAAGTATTAGTGAACTTTGAATAAGTTCAATTTCAAATATCATTTGTAATGATGCCTTTGAAATGTTTTCTTTAAATTTATTTATAAACAACTATAAAACCACATGGAATTTAATATATTAGTTATTTTTTATTTAGGATTATGAATTTTTTCCTTCAAGTTTTATATTTTATTTTTTGGAAAAATAGAGAAAACTCAGAAAATCTCAGCTTTGAAAAGATTAATTGGCATCACATACTAAAGTCCAGGAGACTAGGCTACTTACGCTGTTTGTACATTTCAAACACACCAAGAGGCTTTATTCTGTTGGCATTGCTCCCAAATCACATTGTGATCTTAGGATCTAGGAACTAAGGTTAACTCTTTCCTGTATTTTCAACTTGAGTCAAAGAATTTTTAGTTGATTGTTTTGAGTTATACATTAGCTTTTTAGTTCCTAAGAAGAATACTGTGTTCCATAGTTCCCGTCTCACCACCTGCCACCCATTTTTTTTTTTCCCTTTCACATTTTCAAATAGCTCCATAATCTTCAAACTTCTTTTCCCATCTTGTTTTACAGGTCGATTGAGCTATCCACATCCAGGGACTGACAATCTGTTGATGTTAAATGGTAAGTTATATAAAACATTTTATATTTTCAATTGATTTATATAAATAAAGGTGATTGAGTGCATGTTTTTGTATAACCCTCCCACAGATAATCATTATGTAAATATAAAAGAGTTAGAGCTACTCCTGTGTGGAAAGCAGAATTTGGAATTTTGAATAGATTCTGGTTATGAATTATATATGTATAAAGTAGCCATGAAATACAATTGTGGCAGTATGATTTAATTCAGTCATTCCTGACTTGGGGGCAGCGCAGACGTGAATTATGTCCCTCCAGTTTAAGGTATTACCTTGGACAACTAAGTTCGTTCTTCTGAACTTCAGTTTCTCCATCTGTGAAATGAGAAGTTCAACCTTCGGTTTTATTATAAAGAATAAATGAGATGTTTACAAAGTTAGTACAACTAGTTACTTAGTAATAGCACTTGTGTTTATATTTAACTAAGGAATATACTGGTGAGTCTGAATATGATGGTCATACTAGCTTAATTTATTCTAACTTGAATGAATATATAATGAAGTTTACTAGACTAAGAAAAAGAAGAAATGAGCTTTCATTGAAGTTTATTTACTTATTTTTTTCCTTCACTAAAACAAACATTGGCATATTCAGAGAATCCCAGTGCTTAGCATACCCATGATTGTGGGAAGAGCAATAGAGGATTAAAATATTTTTAATGAAAGTAATTTTAAATCTGAAGGTGGGTGATGTGAGAGAAGGAGAAGGAAGGAATGTGGTAGACATAGTATTTATTAAAAAAAAAAAAACTTGTGTAGGAGCAGCTTGTCTCTTCTATTTCAACTAAACCTTTGTTGGAAAAAGAGAGCAGTGAAGATGGGGAACAAAAATGGTGTGACAGAAAGATGGAAATAAAGTCCAGACTACCTTAGAGATTGTCAGTGTCAATAGGATTTTTGGACTGAGAGAAATACTGAAGAAGCAGGTCGTCCGTTAAGGGGATGGTTCGTTAATTCAGCACTTAACTGTTACGTATGGAATTGCCCAGCACACTCCACCTTTGTCTGAGTACACTTGTTGTTGTTGTTATTTGCCATCGAGTCTGAGTACACTAGGTGACCTAATTAGTGAGGCCTTTGAAGGTTGGTTAGGGAAAGAATCACCCAGGTCCTAACAGTGGGGACAAAGACAGAAATGGCTGAGGCCTTTCTAGGCCACATTCTTGAGCTCAATGGATTATGGTGTTTACACAAACTTGGACCAGAAGGATACTAGGAATTGCATTCCAGAACTTCTTCATTCAATATTTTTCCTAACCTGGAAGAAAAAAAAAATTATTTGGGTAGCTGAACTGTAAATCTGATTAAAAATGATATTATTGAAATGAAGTTCACAGAACTGAAAATAGTTTGTAATTTTTATTCTCTTGGCCTAATGATATTAGGTACCAATAAATTACTTATTTATTAATTCTAACTTTCTTAAATACTTTAATTTTTTTTGCATATTATGTAGTAAATATCATTCATCTTTCTGTTTTACCTTTTAATGAGCAATTCAGTTTAAAAACTTTGATTCAGGTATGTTTCCCGGATTCTGTTAAAATTTACTTGAAGGAAAGTGCACTGGTTCAAATGCTTGGCTACGAACCCAAAGGTCAGAGGTTTGAACCAATCAGCTGCTTTGTGAGGGGCACATGAGACAGTCTGCTTCCATAAAGATTACAGCCTTGGAAGCCCTGTGGGGTACTTCTGTCCTGCCCTGTAGGGTCCTGATGAGTCAGAATTAACTTGATGGCAACAGATAACCGATTTCTGAGATAATTTGTTAGGTCATTCTCAGATGTTCATAGATTGCTAAATGGACAATAAGCTGGGGTGATCTAGAAGTATATGTAATCACATTAAAACACATCAATTAGGTGTAAACACTAAGCTTAGTAGCCACAAACTGTTACAACAATTTACGCTTTTAATGAAACTAAACATTATTAAAAATGTTCAGTTGAAAAGTGTTTTGTTACCTAGTAGACACACAAGACTTTTTCAGGCAAGAGTTGCATCTGTAGACAATTTTTTTTTTTTTTCCCAACTAGCTGAACACCCTGAGTACTCAGCCATTTGGGGCCACAATGCATAGTTAGCACAGCAAGCCAACTTGAAATTTTGTACTTTATTGGGTAAGCGACTAGGGGGTAAAAAAAAAGATCATGAAACTAGGGCATCAAACTGTTTTTAAGTCATTAAAAAAGGCAATTTTGATTCAAAAAGAAAAATTCCTTTTACTCATTTGAGGTCATTGTCTAAAAGAGGAAGCAAAAATCAGACATGAGATGTTTCTAAGGCAAAAGGAACTTTTTTTTTTTTTGAGTATGTCAAAAATTTAACTCTAGATTTAGCTCACTATTAGGCAGTTGGTTAAGTAAGTTGTTTACTAAAGCAACAAGCCTAGCTAATAGTATTGGGTTTTGAAAATCAGTGTTTAGTAATAAATTCTGAAGTAGTTCTGGTTAAACAGCAGTTCTTAGTGATTGGCACCATGGATTCCTGAGTTCATTCCTGTCAAGTATGTATGACAGTGCCTGACAGTAAATGTGAGCTGCTGTCATGGGAATGAAGTTGATAATGAAAGGGTACAAATTGTTTCCTGCAACTAAGGAATGTTTACTGTGGACAATATAAAGACAGAGGCTGTCATACAGTGAACAAAAAAAGGCTTCTGTTATTGCAGAAAGCTAAATTTGAACATTCGGGAGAAGTTACGTAGAGACAAAACTTGAATCAATAAAACAAAATAGCTCTCAGTGTTTCCTAAAGTGTGGTGCACTTGCCATTGGTGGTACCAGGTGACTTTTGATGGTACACAGGTACACATTAAAATAAATTTGTGACTGCTGCAGTTAAAGAATGGTCCTTAGAAAATACATAACGGGCAAAAATCTATGCTGTTATAGTGATTTTAGGCTTGAGTCCCTTTAATGAAAAATAACATATAAATAATAGTACAGTTATGCAGGTACGGCAAATATTGTAAGGTTTTATGATTGCATGTTGGTGTGCCATTGAATTGGTTCCAACTCCAACAGTTAATTACCAGTCATGGTTAAACTTTTAAATTTTCTTTTTAGGAGGGATAAACAGGGAGTAAAATGAAGGTAAGGAAGTTGCTTAGACTGAGTGAAACTATGAAGTGCCTCTAGCAATTCCTTAACTCTGAGCCTCTGTGACTTCACATATTTAAAAGAAAAAAAAAAAGTAGTATAATTCCAGGTCTGATTATCTAGGGAAGTTGTTCAGATTTAAAAAAAAAAAAAAATTAAAAGCAATTTAAAAATGTCACAGAAATATAGCAGACTCCTACTTTTGAACAGACTGTCTTCCTCAAAGTAGTAAAGTTGAATTTACTGGTAGAGACTGCTGTTATTCAGTAATTCAAATGTTGTAAAACAGTCCACGTTTAACATCCAGAAGCAGTTTAGGGGAAGCCACATTACATAGGAATGTGCAGGTTGTTAAGAAGGGAGAATGGCCATGTACTTTGGTCATGTTGTCAGTCCCTGGGGAAGGTATGGTAAAATAGAGGGTCAACACAAAAGGGGAAGACCCCCCATAAGGTGGAGTCACACACTGGCTTCAGTGATGGGCTCAAGCATAGACATGATGGTGAGGACGGCACAGGGCCTGGGAGTGTTTTGTTCTGTTGTACAAAGTGGCACTACGAGTCACCTGAGTCGACAGCACGTGACAACAGCAACCAAGTTAAAAACTGTCTGGAAGTTAGAATGACGGCTTCAGAGTTTGTATTTCTAAGTGGATAATTCTTATACTTTTTCCATCAGAAGTTAAAGTTTAAAAAATTGCCTCTCTTCCATAATTGTTGTTATGGGCTGTTGAGTCAGACCCGACTCATAGCGACCCCTCCTTGGGTTTCCAAGGCATTATCACTACGGAAGGAGATTGCCCCATCTTCCTTCCAAGGAGTGGCTGGTGGGTTTGAACTACCAGCCTTCTGGTTAACAGTCAAGTGCCTTAGGCACTATGCAACCAGAACTCCTTTCTTCCATAGTAGTCAAGGACAATACAAAATGATGTATCATTCAAGTATTTGCTTGGGTTTGTATTATAGTACACCTTCCTCCCTCTCCCAAGGAAGACAGTTTGCATTTTTAGTACCTGTAATTTTTCAAAAGGGAAAGAAATGGAGCAGAATTGTGGAGGTGGCGTTAGCCAGCTATTTAGAAACTTCAGTTTGCCTTGGTTACCCACATCGAGCCTTGTATATAATGAAGAGCTTGCTGTATTTTGGGGGAGGAAAGACTTTATGTGTATCTTTTAATTATGGACATTTACTCAGTCATGAAATTATATTTCTGAAAGCACAGCTCTAAATCCACTGCATTAAGTCATGAAAGTAGAGCTCTTAGATGACTGTCAGTTCTTGGTTTTGCTGAGGGTAGTGCGTAGAGTGGGTTATGGCAGATGCATTTTGGATCTTTGAAAAGGACTGTCATATTGGAGGCCAGGTTCTCTGCCTGGTTTTTTAGTAAGATGATTGGGCCTCTAGGACAAACTGAGACGTCCCTTTGACAGGGGATTCTTCAGGGTTTGCCCTGAGCTACCTTATTATCTTTATAAATGTGTGTGGGGGTGAAGTGGGGGCGTTAAATAGCTAACTCACTTTCTTAATTTTTCTTTTTGCTTAAATCAGGTGTACTCATCTTTATAAATATATGTACCTAAAAATTAATGTTTTAAATACAATTTTTGAAAATCAAATTGCTCACTTTTTGGACAAAGGGCTTTAGAGGGGCACTGTTTAAAGAAGTCTTTTTTAAAAACTTATAGGGAGTGGTCACTCAATGATTCTTTTCTCCCTGGGGTTTTTGATAATTCTGAGTGAGAGCCCCAGTGGAACATCCTCCAGAAAGTCACACAGAAACATTGGTAGGAAAGTGAGTACACTGACCATTGTTTAGTGTGATGGTAGCAGTTTGATTGTTTCCATGACAGGGAGTAGGAAATGATTCACATAATTTAGCTGCTTCTGCAGTCAGCTCTATTTTTGGTAATGTAGAGACTTGGAATCTGAGAGCGGTCCAAAAAATAAGTGGAATAGCTCTTTTCAGGATATTCTAAAATTGCTCAGGTATGAGAGAGTTGGAGAAAGTTTCTAAATACTTATTTCCAAGTTTAGGAAGGAGATGAAACTAAAGTGCTGTCAGCATTTGTATGCATTTTCATTATTTTAGTATTGAGTAGGCTGAGTCAACTAAGAACACAATAGCTATAAACATAAATTGCTTGTGAGGTCATTAATTTTCTCAGTGAGTCTAGAATCATGTGCCCCCATTGTGACTTCATTGTAATTCACAATTTGACTGTAACCTTGATGAGATGTTTCAGTTGCTTTGTAAATCTTTGACCTCCTGTACCCATGAGTACAGATCCCCAAAGCAAATGAGTACTGGAGGACTTTATGGTTAGGTCATGCCTTGGAATAAGCAGGAAGCTCAGTTCCTGAGACTGTTGTGTTTTGCAGTGTTTGGGGGCTTCTGGACCATTGCTAGGATTAGTACAACTGCTAAGACTTAAACTCCACTTACTTAGGCCCAACAGCCTATTCTTGATAGCACTATTAAAATTGCCTTTATCAGTCTGTTTCCACAGTTATCACTTTGAGAACCTGTTTGTTGGTTTGTTTTAAGCCTTACAAGTCTCAGAAGATCTAAACAAAAACATTTCGAATGGTCAGTTCTACCCCTACCATCAACCCAAGCTAATATGGGTCAGGCAAGCTATAAAGTAAATCTGCCAGGCTTTGAGGGACTTAGAGTTCAAGGACCAGTTAAATCTGCAATGGATTATATCACTAAATAAAGATACTATAGAAGCAGAGAAGTTAGTTTACATAAAAGCTCTGATGGGAGCTTTTATATTTATTGACTTGGCAAATAGCAGTATAAATGACTAAGAGTTGACCAGTTTGCCTGCCTTCCTCATCACTGTTGAGGGACTAGCGCTGTATCCTTCCCTTGTAGACTCACTTCTCTATATTAAAGCTTTAGAGTAAGATTAGACACGTTGTGTTGTTGTTGTGTGCCGTGGAGTTGGACCTGACTCATAGCGACCCCTCCTTGGGTTTCCGAGGCAGTATCCACTACCGAAGTAGATTGCCCCGTCTTCCTTCTGAGGAGTGGCTGGTGGGTTTGAACCACCAGCCTTCTGGTTAGCAGTCAACTGCCTTAGGCACTATGCTACCAGAGCTCCTGTATATTTTATAAAACTTGGATAAGATGTTAAATGTAAATGTTACATTTAACAATGTAGGTATTTTTCTTTTGATCACTAAGTTTTATGCTTTGGGGGAGCACATTTCTGACAAATTTAACCCAGGCAGACCTTGGGGATCCGGTGGTGTTGGTCCCAGACTACCACAGTAAAGCGAATGCACAATTAAGTGGATACACAACATAGCAACTATGCAATAAAGGAGTGGAAGGGATGTTTTGGTTTCCCACCACATATCAAAGTTACATTTACATTGTCCTGTAGTCTATTGAGTGTGTTAACAGCATTACGAAAAAGTTTGAAATATTGTGAGAATTATCAAAATACAACACACAAATGCAGAGTGAGCACATGCTGTTGGAAAAAAGGTGTCAATAGGCTTCCTAGATGTGGGGTGGCCAGAAACCTTCAGTTTGTTTAAATTGGAAAAAATGCAGTATCTGTGAAGTCCAATAAAATGAAGTACAGTAAGATGAGATATGCTTGTATATACTTTAAGATTTATTCAATATCAATTTCCCCCCCAAACCTAAAAAACCATGAACATGTTTAAAATCTTAATTTTAATAGTCAGTTTTGGATTTTTGCCTTGATTTCACAGATTACTTCCATGATAAAAATATTCACTATGTACCCAGTTTTGGAGCAAAAGAGTTATTTACAAACAACTTTTGAATTTTATCAAACTGATAGTTTTCTATTAAAAAAAAAAATAAAGTTTTTTTTTTCCATAAGGAAGTATGTAATCTGCTAGTACTTTTTACTTCTACATTATTTACACATAATGTACCATTCTGTGATGATACTAATTATAATTTGTATCTGAATCCTTCTTACACCATAAAAAAACAAAAACAAACCAAACTCACTGCCATCAAGTCAGATCTGACTCATAGTGACTCTTCTTTGGGTTTCCAAGGCAGTATCACTATAGTCATAGATTACCCAACCTTCTTTCCGAGGAGTGGCTGGTGGGTTTGAACCACCAGCCTTCTGGTTAGTAGTCAAGTGCCTTAGGCTCTATATCACCAGAGCTCCCCATACACTATAAGTACCCCATAAGTACAGATATAAACACTTGTAGATAACTATTATAAAATACTTAAAATTAATGGAAGACATGATTAGTTATAGTGTGTCATTAATCATTTCTTCGACTCAATAAGTTTGAATGGGTTGATATGGTTTTTTACATCCTATCTAAGCTATGTAGGCTTTCAGTATCAGTTAATATTGTTCTATCTTCTTCCTCTTCTCAGTCTTCAGTACTTCTTCCGTGCAAGGCCTTGGTATATGTGGATTGGATCTGAATTTGTTGGACTGTATATGCCAGTTGAGTTGATTCTGACTTATAGCAACCCCCATAGAGTTTCCACAGCTGTAAATCTTTATGGAAGCAGACTGCTTCAACTTTCTCCCATGGAGCACCTGGTGGGTTAGAACTGCCAACCTTTTGGTTAGCAGCCCTGTGCCTTAACCACAGAATCACCAGAGCTCCTCATATATGCCATGTAACTCTATAATAAGTAGAAAATTTATAATGTAATTCAGCTTGTTTCCATTCATTTGGAAGATTACTTGAGATGTTATTTAAATGTAAAGTGTTACACATTTCTAGCCTGATGATATGAACAAATACTTATTTGTGATTTTTTTTTAAACACAATTGAGTGAGAGTAAATTAATGGTATATTTCCAGTTAACCTCAGAGTTTTTAATACAGCCCAGATGATATATTACATATCAAAAAAGTGCTTTGTAAATGGAAAAACATCATGCAAATATATAGTGGCATTAGTGTCATATCTCTTAAAACAAAGTAGCAAAAATTTTCAGATGCCCACATAGCTTTTCATATCATAAATAGTTGTATATGTGGGCTTATTTTTAGTTCTAATGTTTTACAATTTGTCCTTTGTTTACATGCAGCAAGGAGTTATGGGCGAAGACGAGGTAATTCACTTCTGTTTACTATGGTATAACTGCTTCTTACTGGGTTTTACTGATCAATGTTGTAATTAATTATTCCAGAGATTTTATACAAAGTCTGAAAATTCACAGAATTGTGTTTTGATTTGAGTACTTACATGTTGTTATTGTTCTGAATCTTAAAATCTCTAAGCCTTTTAAAAAACACATTTTAATACTAATACTTGTTTAATAAATTTTTTTTTTAAATTATCCATATTTTAACTATTTAAAAAAATGTATTGCTGTGCCTTTTAAAACAGAGTTGCAACTTACAGATTGTGTAGTGAAGAAATGTGTTTAATGGACGTTAGTGAGGGGGATGTACTGTGGGTGACGGTTCTGCTGTCTGAGTCTGTCACTGGGACTCCTTGTCTTCTCTGTGGTATATAATTTGCAACTGTACGTTATTTAAGTTTGACCCAAAAGCAAATACCAAATAGGCCACTATAAGCACTGATCTATAGAGATCAGGTTGCTAATATTTCTCTGTGTCTTATAAGAATGTAATTGTTCTCTCTCATTCCACACACACATTCACACACTCTCTCTCTCCCTCTCCCCCACAGCGTTCTTCCCTCTGGCCTACTGTATAGTATCTTAAGGAAAATTCTAGGACTGTTACGAGGCTCCTTTAGAAAGCAGCTGACATTTTTTTGTGGCTGAAACTTTGCCTCTCCCTTTTCCTATGCACAGAAATTGAGAGGGAGAGGAGGTGAGATGACAGGAAGCAAAAGTAACTTTCTGCTACTAGCTTATCCACTTCATGAACAATAATTGTATGGATATAGTGCTGCTTGTGGGAAGTACTATACTGAAGGAAAAGGGTTTTCCTTGAACTCTAAAATCTCCCCTAAACCGTGGAGGATAACCAAACTCACTGTAGCTGAGTCAAGCTCATCTCATAGTAACCCCATAGGACTGAGTGGAACTGCCCCATAGGGTTTCCAAGGCTGTAAATCTTTACAGAAGCAGACTGCCACATCTTTCTCCCAAGGAGCTGCTCCTGGGTTCAAACCTCTTGACCTTTTGTTTAACAGCCAAGAGCTTAACCACTGTGTCAATAGGACTCTATTGGAGCCCATGAAGGGTGGGCAGTACCATAATGCCCTTTGATAAGTTTTAGTCATGAGTATGTGTGTACTTTGAAAACTAACAAGCAGAAGCATTTGCCACTACTGACAACAGAAACTATGATTTTTTATCTGTCAGTGGCATTTCTAGTTTTGTAGTTAAGATCATCTGAATTTACCTTCATGTTTAGATTTTGGTTTCCACAAACATTTCACTAAATCTCTTGGATCTTTGGTTTTCTAACTAAAAAATCAGAGGGGGTAGAAACTCAACACTCAGGAAGATAAAACTCAGTAACTTTCTAAACACTATCATTAGCAAGCTGGTAAGAGAGGGGAGTTCAGTTCCTGAGAGAAGAAAACATTAGTCCCTGCTTTCAGATCTCTTGGGTCACATGAGCGTTTTACTGTACCATTTAGGCCTGTTTTCAGACTTGTGGATCTACTTAAACGTTTTGCTGTACTATTTCACTGGAGAGCATCACCTCTTGAAAACAGCACTGCTTACCAACCTATGATTTTCTGGTGTTTTTGAAACTATAGAGCAGTTCAGGACTTTTCTTGTGTGTATACTTTTCTTCTTTTAATTTTAATGGCTTATAGTCTAATTTGAATCCAGTGCATATTTCATGATAAAAGAAGTTCTTAGGAGCAAGGTATCAAAAATGACATTGTGTGTCCTTTATATCCCTTTAGTAGTTGTTGACTGTGATTATAGTATAGTATTAAGAAAAAGCAAAAATTTCTTGCCCTGCTTTTCGGTAGGAACCTATCACTACTCTTCTGTATCTTCACCCTGGGAGCTATGAAGAGGACTGGTGCCTGGGCACCAGCGTTAGGAAGGAGGAAGACTGTCACACGATTTTAAGATTTCTGGTAAAAGCCTCCTTTAGGACAGAGGTGTGATAGTTGTCACACATGTTTGGCTTAGTGGCATAGGTGATTATACTAACACCTGAATGTTCCTCTCAGATTATATAGCATTGCTAATTTATTATTTGGTCCTCTGGATATTAGGAGTCTGCTTTTAATATTTTGATTTTGATGATCAAATTGAAAGTTGGATCCATTAGAAATAGATATTGAGAGATTTTATTTAAATTTGAAACACTTTGACATGATGAATAATAAAACATTAAAAAATAAAATCCACATATTGAAAGAATGACTTAAAGCAAAGTTACATGGTGGTCTGGCTGTCTTCTGTTTTCTACTCATTTTTTCCCATGTGTACTATGAGTCGGGGCCGACTCGACGGCAAATAACAACAACAACAACAACAACAACAACTAGATGTGGAGTCCCCGGGTGGTGCAGACAGTTGACATTGCTTGGCTGCTAATCGAAAGGGTTGAGTCTACCCAGAGATGCCCCAGAAGAAAGCCCTGGTGATCTACTAAAAAATTAGCCACTGAAAACCCTATGGAGCACAGTTCTGCTCTGACACACATAGCATTGCCATGAGTCAGAGTTGACCAAAAGGCAACTGTCTTATTCTCTAGTGTTATACCAGATATACCACAAGAGGGGTGGCTTTAAAAAACAAGAATTAATTTCTTACAGTTGAGGCTAGAAGTCAAAGTTCAAAGTGCCAGCTCTAGTGTTCCTCGACCTTGGGCTTCAGCTTTGCCTCCTCTTCCAGGCCTCCTCGAACTGGAGGATTTTTCTGACTCAGGCAACTGCTAGCTGCTGAGCCTGACATACCCAAGATTGACAGGTAAAATGGCACAGTCCCAAGATCACCAGGCCATGAGTTCAAGTGCAGGAACAATCCCAAGGTGAGCAGGCAACATACAGGCCACTGAGATGAAGACTCAGCTAAATGCAGGATCCAGTTGTGCCAAAAGCAAGAGACCTTTCTTAAAGCGTCTCCTTATGTACTGGAAGTAGGCTACACACTGAAGGCATCTACTCAGCTGCTCACAGCAGATTCCACCGTGGAGCTGATGACCGATCTCAGCCTGAGGATGAGACTGGTAATCTACATCCAGCTGCCTAGCCAATCCACACCATGGGTCAGCCAAGTATAGGACTGAGTGGAACTGCCCCATAGGGTTGGTTTTTTTTTTTTTTTTTTAAATACTAGACATAGTATATCAGTCTCAGACTGATACCCTTTAGATTACGCCCCCCCCAAAAAAAAAAAAACCAGTTGCCATCCATTCGGTGCCATCTCATGATGACCCTGTAGGACTTAGTAACTGCCCTGAAGGATTGCCAGGGTTGTAAATCATTACTGAAGCAGACGGCCACATCTTTCTCAAAAAGGTGTTCTGTTTTCAGCAGAACAGCTGGTAGTGGTAGCATCCTTTGGTTGCCAGCCAAGCTCTTTAACCAATACACCACCAGGGCTTCTTTCAAACTATCAGTGGTTCCCTTTATGAGCTTTATATTTACAAAGATTTGGTTAATAAAAGAATCTGCATTTATTCATTTATGTAATCATTTTATAAAAACCACATACACGCCAGAGCTTCTATTCATGTGGCATATGTTGAAACATTGAGTTGATAAAATTGTTACCAAAAACAAGGCATAGCTCTTAACCTGGTGTAGTAGTAGGTAGACTATTATGCTTAAAGGGCATTTGATTTTGTAGTCTACTCAAGGAAAAACTCTGTGGTTGTCCTTTGGCTTACTTTTCAGCCCAGGCATAGAATAAGTTAACTGTTGTTTAAAAGACTTCTCACTTGACCATGAAGGATCAAACGAAATTACAAAAATGACTATATTTTAATTTCCTTAATGTCAATAAGGTTTTAAATGAAGATAGCACTTAATTTATGAGAATAATAGAAGGTTAATTATACTTGAGGTATAATTAAGAGAAAGCAAAAATTTGTTTTCCTGCATCTCTAGCCTCTGGGAAGGACTCCTGGTGGCACATTGGTTGTTCACTCACCTGCTAATTGGAAGGTCAGTGGTTCAAACCTACCAACTACCCTTCTAGAGAAGGATGTGGCAGTTTGCTTCCATAAAGATTACAGCCTTGGAAACCCTATGGGGCAGTTCTGCTCTGTCATGTGGGGTTGCCATGTGTCAGAATTGAGTGCATTTGTTGATATCTAACCTCTAAAACTCATAAAGAGTTTCAGAGTTGCCTGTTTTAAGAAGGAGGACAACTCTCACATGGGAGAGCTAACTTTAAAACTAGCTAAACTTTATAGCTTTACCATTTTTCTGTTCAGTGCTTCTTCCATTGTATTATGGAAGGGAGTGTTTTAGTCTGGGTTGGAGTAGGATAGAGATTATGAGAAGATGGGAAGCGTAATTTAAGCTCCACTCTCAAAATATTTCTTATTGTACTCTGCTCCTTTAAGAAAAAATTAAAGGGCTGCTGAGCTCCAGAAGGAATCAAAATATATAGACTATTTTGGAAAACAGAAATAAAGAAACTGTTTTAGTTAATGACACTAAGTACCAAAAATTAACCTTAGATTAACATGTGGAATGGGAGGATAGGCGAAATAATTTTAAAGGGGAACAAATTAGGATGTACAATTAAAAAGAGGCTGGGTTTATTTATAATCATTTAGTCATGCAGATATATGTGTTATAATAATTACTAATAGTACATTATGTCTTGCCCTAGAGTTATCTGTCTTTTTTTAATTTGATTAAATTTCACCTCATTTCACTTTCAATCTTGTGAAGTAGCCAGAATAAGTAAGTTGTGAACACATAGTTAAAAACATCTCTAGTTCTCTGTAATTTGCCTTGACATAGGGCCTTTTGAATGTCACTGTGCTTTTGCTCACGTTGATATCTTTCACCTAGGTACTTTTTCCTTCTTTTTTCTCCTCTATCTGAAATTATTCATTCCTTTTAGATCTACTTTTTAAAAGTACTTTTACCTTGGTTTAAGGAGCTCTGGTTGCATAGTATGTAAGGTATTTGGCTGCTGACCGGGTC